TTGATGTGGGAGTGATTTCTTATTAATAAAGAAACTGCCTAGGCCCCTTGATAGGCCAACCCTTAGGTGGGTGGAGTAAACAGAACAGAATGCTGGGAGAAAGAAGCTGAGTCAAAGAGTCGCCATGATTCTCCCACTCCAGACAGATGCAGGTTAAGATCTTTCCTGGTAAGCCAGCTTGTGGAGCTACACAGATTATTAGAAATGGGTTAGATCGATATGTAAGAGCTAGCCAATAAGAAACTGGAACTAATGGGCCAGGCAGTGTTTAAAAGAATACAGTTTCCTCGTAATTATTTCGGACATAAGCTAGAGCTAGCTGGCGGCCGGGAGCTGAAGTGGCAGGGAAGCGGCCCGCAGCTCCTCACAACAGTATGTTTTATATACACCGATACCTTCTATGTCCCTGAAATGTTATTAATACAAAAATTGCCTATAGTAACCTCACAAAGAGCCTGAAGCTGCATTTTACACTTGATTTTGTGTATCGATCATATTTAGATCGTGTGTATGCTCATCCCTCTCAACTCCTTGTGAGTTCCCTCCCAGTTCCTCCTTTCCACTTCACAAACTCTCCCTCTTCAGTTGGAGTTGACTGGCATGGTCCTATGCAGGAATGGTACAGACAACCATGGCTTCTGTGATACGTGAAATGTGAGATGTGATAATGGATACGGTTTCCTTGGTACATATTCATATTCATCATAGATGGTGTCAACATCTTCTCAATTGACTCAAATGTACGTGTTGATTTGGCATTGTTACATAGGGATGTAACTTAGGTGGAGTCCACACATGGTTATGAATGCCTTAAAATTAGTCCTGGGGTAAAGAAAACCTTTAAAGAACTCATACCTGTTATGTAAATTGAGAAGTGAAAGAACTGTATATTATATTAATGATACAGCCACATGTAATACAACTGCAAAAGGCAAAGGAATGCAAATCTCAGAGGGCACTGATACCCACAGAGGAAGTATGTGGGAGGGAAAATGCATTTCCAGTGTGTACCATGGTGCTTCTGAAATTAGGTAGTGTTTACAGAGACTCAAGTGAATGCTGCTTCATTATTAAATTGTAGGTTTATAGTTATCTTTAGTGCATATAGTACAAAACTTATACTTACAGCAAATATGACTAAGGTTGGATAAAAGCTTAATTAGACTCTCAGAATCAGTGGGGATGTTGAATACCAAATTTGAAATATTACTTAGAAACAGGAAGAGTACTGAGAAAACAGAGGACTAGCAATTCAGAGATGTTGGGTGTATCACTGCCAGTAAGAACTCCCCCTTCCCCCTTTCTCCCTCTTTCTTTCGCTCATGCTCTCTCTTGTTCTCATTTTCTCTAAACACAAAAATTTTCAAAGCAACACAAATAGTAAAGTTTATTAAACACAACATCAAGACATACATTCAGTACCTTTTCATCTTAAGTCTTAAAATACAGGCTTCATCAAAAGTACAGCAATGACCCTTGTTGGACAATCCCAATTAACTGGAGAGGACTATGGAAAGTTCGAGTATTTAAGTGATGCAGACAGTCAATGTGGTTAATTCAGGCAGCCCCCATGCTTCATCATGTGTCAGGGATTGATTTTATTGACCACAGTGTAGTGACTTATTAAACACAGAGGTAAATGCCAAGGGACAAAGGTTTCTTTGACTTTAGGAAAACATTTTCTTTTCATAACAGTAAAAAATAATCTGCATTTAAAGAAAGAATTTATACCCTCATGTTTTGACACAGAAGCATATACATGTTTATGTACATACACATTTAATTCTATATTTTTAACTTTGTTTAATTAATGGATTTTAATCATTTGAGCTATAAAGGAACTACTCTGATATTTTTGTTTGAGAACATGGTTCTTTATTCATATTTATTTGTATATGTATACATTTATTTATAATATTAGTAATCACTGAAATGGTATCATTTGTGTTAAATACTATGAAATCTGGTATTCATATACATGTATATATTTTGAATGTAAACACACATTTATACATACATATATACTTTTATTTGGGAGCATGCATATTATTAGGACCTACTATTGGACAAACTTGATAATAAGTAACTCCTTATTGAGTGTTACCTTGTTATTGGTAGCAATATATTTTAGGCACACCAAGGAAGCTGTGCACAAACCGACTTTCCCAACCTAAACACATGCATGATATGCTGGACCCAACAAAGAGAATTCAGAGCACATATACTCCTTGGAGTTAAGAAACTGTAGCAACACCCAACTTTGGTCAGAGCAATCTGAGTTCCAGTGAAAAAAGCCAAACTGCCTGACATCTGAGTTCTAAAGACTCACAAATTCCAAACATCAACAAGGGCTAACACTGTATAAAAAGACCAATTCATAAAACCATTATCTCAATGTAAACATTTACCGGGGCAGAGACACAGTAAGTGGTATAGAATGGCATCTCTAGCCCAAGGGTACCCCATTTGCTACATCACTGTCTGCTTGAAAGAAGAACATGGGCGGTGTCATCAGAAACGACAGCATAACCATTGTGATCTGCTGTGCATAGAAATAGGCGACAAAAGACAGAGGGTTCTGTTACAGTGCTAACGGCACCAGACGTCATCTGAGCAAAGCTTCTTAAAATGGATTTATCATATTCAATTAGATATGTTGGAATAATAAATGGGCCTTTCCGATGTGAGTCAATTTACCAATACATTGTCAGTGAGACTCTGTAATAGCTAGCTGCGTTCAGTCACACAAAAGGACAGCAGGAGAAGGCAAAGCACATTCTTATTTATAATTGTTTCAGAAAGAAAAACTGTGTGGCACTGGAGTTATATGCACAAGTAAATAAAATACACTTCAGTTTAATATCGTGGGAAGTGTTTTCAAAATGAATGAGAAAATCGATAGTTGTAAAGTAGTTTCTAAAAGTCAATGTAACAGTTGGCTAAGACAAATACATGTATTTTAGCTGACTATATTGAAAAATAAAATTTAAGAAAGCAATTATATATATATGTAACAATACATCAAATTAACATATACATAAATCTATACATATTCCATATCATTTTGTAAGATTGTATAAGATTTTATTTCATTGTTAAACTCGAATTCAGTTAAAAATATTCATTATATATAATAAAAAATTTCAGATCTCATTTTCTTCATAAGTCCTCTCATCTCTCAGTGTATAACTACATATACATATAAGTCCATTAAATATGTTGTTTTGCATTAAGAGGGGGACTCAATATGGTTTCGTATGTTTTAAGACACATCTCTAAGAGCTATAGGCTAGAGGTGCAGCTTTGCAGCACAGTCCAGGACCTTGTGTTTGATGCCTGGCACCATAGGAATAGCAAATGGAGAAGAAATACTCTCTCGGGATTTGGAAGTGTAAGAGCAGACATAATCCTAACTCTGTCTCCATGTGTACAAAGACGACTTTAAGGCAATTGAAATCAGGGTGAGAGACCTAAGAGGAATGAAAAGAATTACACGTGAGTCCATTCATTCTAGGACCCATTGCAGCATCTAGATTCTATTTCACATCACGGCCAGTGGGGGTGGAAAAAAAACAGCTAAAGAAAGCTGAATGTGCTTCCCTACTGCAACTGAAGACGATTTGTAAGGTAGGAAAGTCTGTCCCATCTGGAGGTTGCACCTTCGTGGAAACAAAACACCATGGTGGTTACAGGGAGGATGTGAACTGTTATTATACAGGCAAATGTGGGTGAAGACAAGATGGAAGTATCGGAAGACCATCAGTCAGGAAAAGGCAAGAAACAGGACGAGGAAGAGAAGCACGTTACAGTTTAAAAGGAGGGGCTGTAAGGGAAGGAATACTAAGCCAGGCAAAGAGAATCTAAAGATTCTGGCCCATTGTGCACATTTGTTAAGAATTTGGTGGGTTCCCTGTGCTTGACACATCCTTTGTAAAGGAGATACCTGGGGAGAGCCGTCATTAATCAAAATGAAGGAAGCACGCCTGAGCGGCACCAGTCGAGGCGAGGTGGCACCTGGAGTGTATTTAAGCTGCAGAATCCTTCCAGCTTGATTGTCTCAGACAGCGACTATTGTGCCACCTTTCACCCTGTTCCT